ACATAACAAAAACGACCCGTGGCAGAGACTGATAACCAGCTGAGAAAAATGGGAGAATTACATAATTCGTGTTGAACATATCAGCTCATCAGATCATCTACATATGGAAACACCGACTGCAAACATAAGAGAGCTATCCCATACCCAGCAATGCCAAGGACACACCAGCCAAGCCTTGAACCCTTATCGTTGGCTACGTACAGTTATCTTTTGCGGTACACCAATTCTAAAATAAAGAAGCAAGACAAACATTTGGAAGCGGAGCTATCACTACGATAGAGCCCTGATAGCGATACTATCAAAAGGTTCAATTGCAGTACCTAATGGGCGCTATAATTAAGAAAATAGAAGGTCGTACTGTCTATTCAGATCGGAGCTAATCGACTTGATGCTTAATAACTGATTTAATACATTCTATTTGAGAGAAGAAAAAAAAACTAGCTACTAAAGCGAGGAAAAAAACATGATTTCGTTCCGCCAAATGTCACGTCAGCAGATGCCGTTATAGAAAAAAATTACAATGATCAACATTTTTACATTCACAAGCACCGATCACAAATATAAATCTTGCTTCTTTTCATACAGAATATAATAAAATGTAAAATGACATTATTACGAAATTGTAAGTGCTGCTCACATATGGCGTCAAATACATATTAATAAAATATGACAAGGCTTTCTACAACTACACTACACTGGCTTCCTCTTTTTGATAAACGCACATAGCACTTAGTCACCAATCAAAATACAGGACTCAAGCCAAAAACATAACCCTTGGTAGCATGGAAGGGAAATAATTCATCTCTCATCCACGACCAAGGTGAAAGCTTGTTTAATGTTTACATTTTCGGGGGATTTCAATACTAATGATTTTATTCTTAGACCTTCCTAAAATGATTCTATTCTTAGATCTTCCTAATAATCGAACTTTAAAATATAAAGAGAATTCTCGATCGCGATTCCTCCGGCATCGTTTCAAATGTCAGATTACATCAAAGGTTAAATGACGTGAGCTATCACGTTTGCCCTTCTAGCGGGAATAAAAATGTCAAGGCATATAAGACGTGCACCAAGGCCAGATAAAGCAGGGTAAAACGGTTACTATGTTATTCAAATCGTAAATTGATTGATTAGAAGAGATTGGAGATTTTAAAGAAGGTCTACGCCTGTGTCGCATCTTCGTGATATTATCGTGTCATGTGTCTCGGTGTTGTACCATTTGTGCCTCAGCGTCTCCTTGTTAGTGTAAGTGCCGTACCATGTGTCTCAGTGTCTTATTGTTAGTGTAAGTGTCGTACCATGTGTCTCGGTGTCTACCATTTGTGCCTCAGTGTCTCCTTGTTTGTGTAACTGTCGTACCATGACGTCTGTCGTACCATATTTGTAGTGTAAGCGTCGTTAACATGTATATCGGCGTCGTACCATGAGTGTCCCTGTCATATCGGGCCTCAGCACCATACCGCGAGTGCCGTTGCAATGCCCACCGTACCGTCCTCGTCATCGTCGTACCGTTCCTGTCATTGATGCGCCGTAACTGTCATCATCGTACCTACCTACCGTACCTGCCATTACCGTACCATGATCTTACCATGATCAGTATCGATGCTGTGCAATAAGTGCCACTGCCGTACCGTCCCTGCCATCACCGTACCGTCCCTGTCACCACCGTACCGTGTGTGTCGGTGCCGGTGCGTCCCGCCCGTCCGGCCATCTGCCTGTAGGTGAGCAGGTCGAGCAGGGCGCCTCCCTGCAGCGGGGAGCGGACGATCACCCTGCGTGCCGGCAGGTTCACGCCCGAGCTGAGGGTGCTCGTGGCCACCAGCACTCGCAGCGTGCCGCTCCGGAACGCCAGCTCCAGCAGGTCGCGCTCGTCCACAGTCAGACCTGGCGGAAGGAGCGGTGCCAGTCAGAGGGGCGGGGTCATTAGAACAGGGGATAGGGGGCCAGGGAGGGACATGGCGATAGATCAGTAGGGAGCACTGTCATGAGTGAGCGAAACAAAACAATGCACACGGGACCCGGGGCACGTGATATGGAACATACGGCGCAGGACTGCGACGTCATTGAGGACATGGGACATCATAAAACACAGGACTGACTAAACAGACCCAAGCACCACATCACAGGATACCAGGCACGGGATAAAACACGGATATTGATAAGCATGACCGGAAGCACGAAAGCACGTGTCACAAATACAGAAATTCGTCGGGTTACGCTTGCCGCATCAGAGCGCAGCACCATCAACTGACCTGTTGTCAGATCTAGGCCGCCCACCTCCATCTCGAGTTAATTACTCCATTGGAGCACATCCGGTGACGACAGAGCAGAAGACAGTGACCGTGAGTGCCCCAGCGCTCACAATACGTGTCTACCATACCAACTCCCCGCGCGCCCACCGGATCCGGTCCTGACGCTCGATATCCGTGCTGGGTTCCGTTCCGGTCGGCTGCTCAGCCCGCACGATCGCCCCGTGGCAGCCGCCGCCCCCGGACGCTCGGGTTTTCCTCCCGCCCGGTGAGGCCCCAGTACATCGCGGGACTGCGAGCGGATGCTGACAAAGACGAGTCTGACAAAGACGAGTATTGTTCACGGTTCGGGGAACATAACCTGCGACGGGGCCTCTGTCTGCGTAAAAGACACTCTTATCAGAGCCAGTAGAACTTTTATCAGATCTATCGGTGACATGTTATCGCTTTTTATCATGGAGTGAGACACCTCCCTTTGTCTGGCGCTGGTTGTCCCACTTACGTCCCGCAAACCCTCGGTATTCCCTTGTGGTCCTTTCCCTCTGAACACCTAGAGACACCCACCACTTGCGACCGGTCCACTCTCCACACCTAACTCCCCTCAGCTGCACTTACCAGCGTGGTGGAAGGCCACTCCGAAGGCGATGCTGCGGGCCAGCGCCGGGTCCAGCCCGGCCGGGGTGCGCCGTAGGTCGTCCAGCAGCTGCTGTAACTGCTCTGGGATCAGCAGACGGCGCAGGGCGGTGGCCGAACGCTGCTGGCCGGCCGTCAGGTCCGAGCGGCCCGGGTGACCTGGCGGGAACAGTTAGCAGGGGGCATGTAAGAGAGTGAAAGGTAGCAGCAGGTGGGGCTGAATTCTTACTGATACGACAAACTATGCAAATGAGATAGCGATCCAGCTAGCTGTTGCCAAAACCAGTAGCAATATCAGATGCGGACATAGTTAATGAGTCACCCAACCACAAAACGTCAAACATTAAGAGCTGATCTGATATCAATGGTCCGTTACAGAACTTGGTAACACTAGCATCTCGTTACCAACCAAGCCTACAAACTCAGTCCTCTTATCCATCCCCCACCATCCCCCCAACCATAGACCTCTACATACCTCTACATCTTGGGATCTCTCTGATGATGTGTGTCATGTGCCAGTCAAAGATCAGCTCAGTGACGAGCCGCATTCCACAAAATCACAACACCGTCGAATGCGGGTCACGGTCTCCAAACCATGATCAGATCAGTTATCGACTGGATGCTGTACCCAGTACCTTCGAATCTGCAGATTCTGCACTGAACGAGCTGTCGTCTAAGTAGACATTTGTCAATGGCTTACCATTACCATTTACCTTGTACCTACAGTCCCGCTACCCCCTAAAAACAATAGACAGTGGAGGCATACCGAATACATATATCCATGCGTTATCTCGTCAAGTGTCCTGTGTCAATGGTGACATTTGTCAATGGCTTACCATTACCATTTACCTTGTACCTACAGTCCCGCTACCCCCTAAAAACAATAGACAGTGGAGGCATACCGAATACATCATAGACCTCTACATACCTGGACTGGACACTCGAATCTGGCGAATTGCATAGTGGCCCTAAAAGTAAAACGTTATATCTCGGGAACTAGGTCAGGTACGATGTTGCGGTCCTCACTACTGGACAGCCCTATTCATCAAAATTTAGGGCACACGTGTGTTGAAGCAATACCATGTAAAAGGCCACCGTGAGCACGTGGCGCGTGAGGGATGTTTTCGAAAATGGTGCATCAGTATCTCTGGAACGGCTGAACCGATTGGCCTGAAATTTGGTATGTAGTCTGGTACACCACAGTCAACACTACAGGAAGATCGAAACTTGGTATACCAGTGCACGTGCGCACGTGCGTACCCTTTTTTTGTATCTCAGGAACCCCTCGACCGTTTGGGATGAAATTTGGTATGTAGCCAGATAACACATAACTGATAATGACGCACACTCGATACTTGGCCTATCGGTGCACGTGCGCACGTGCGTACCCCTTTTTTGTATCTCAGGAACCCCTCGACCGATTGGGATAACATTTGGTATGTAGCCAGATAACACATAACTGATAATGACGCACACGCGATACTTGGCCTATCGGTGCACGTGCGCACGTGCGTACCCCTTTTTTGTATCTCAGGAACCCCTCGACCGATTGGGATGACATTTGGTATGTAGCCAGATAACACATAACTGATAATGACGCACACTCGATACTTGGCCTATCGGTGCACGTGCGCACGTGCGTACCCCTTTTTTGTATCTCAGGAACCCCTCGACCGTTTGGGATGAAATTTGGTATGTAGCCAGATAACACATAACTGATAATGACGCACACTCGATGCTTGGCCTATCGGTGCACGTGCGCACGTGCGTACCCCCTCGACCGATTGGGATGAAATTGAGCATGTAGTACACACCACGGTACACCACACAGTAAGTTTCGGCAAAAACTTAAAACTTGGCATATTTGTGCACGTGCGCACGTTTTTTATCGCACTCTTTTGTATCTCAGGAACCATTGGATCGACTGGGATGAAATTTGGTGTGTAGCCAGGTACCTACCGCACATGTAGCTGTATCGATCGATCGACAAAAGGCATGCACAATGTTTATTGATTCAAATTTAGATACCTATGAGTCGAAGAAACCACGTTTGTGCCGCTGTCAAAACCGCACATGTAGATGATGTATAGCTAGCCCTAAGCTGTAAATAGTACTTTTTTGTGTGTGCTTTTCAGATTTTGTAATATCTTCGTTTTCTTCTTTCACAATAGTGTTGTGCAGGCTGAGTACCTACTTGATTGCTAAGAATAGGAAATCAAGGCGTAGCTTTTAAGGTTTATACATTTGAAGCCTTCAGCAGCACACAAAGAAACAAAGAAATTGAGCAATGTTTGCATTAATTTCTAGAGCTGGTGCAAACACGGACATACACAATAACAAGTGTTTCATCCTCATGACCGAGACAGTGACTTTACACTCCGAACTCAAAATTAGGCATTTAGAACAAAACATCTGGCACGAACAAGGCAAACGAGCGCCGCCAAGGCAGCTGAACGTCAGCGAGACGAACACGCGGCGATACATCAGCTGAAAATCAACGAGACAGCTGAGCGTCCACGATCTCAAGACATAAAATAGACAACAACGCATAATGGTGCACCACTCCACAAAACATGGTGGCATAGTACAATGAGACTATTGACATATCGAAACACATTACGTATAATCTGCACAATTATTAAGCCGCCACGCGAATATTCAAGGATACAAGCGAATGTACAATAGATACATCTGTATAAATCTTACTATGTTGGGACGTTACTTGGGACGGTAAGTCACTGCAGATCAGATCCGATGCCGCGGTCACCCTAGCGTCTCCCTTATTTCTTTCCGCTGTTCAGCTTTCTGATCTTGTCTCGACTTTGTTCACGTGTCGTCATCTGAGACGTCATTCTGCCCTTGCTTGAATGAATAGCACTATTCATTTCCGTAGCATAGTTTGACGTAAAGACGTTGAATAGAGCGCTGGCCATCCTTCCGTAGACTAACAGGAAGTCATGGCCGCTCTCGCACTTAAGGCCTGCAAGGCTACTGTCTTGCTCGCCGATAGTGGTCATCACTTTCTCGAAGCAGGAGCGTGGCTCGGAGCAACCGAGCAGAGCAGACCGCGAAGCGTCGTCCTGCATGAGCCACCTGTGAATTAGACAAACAGTCGTTTTCTGTTCAAGCGACTGCGCTGAAAATGCCGCAAATGCCGCGCAATTTCTGCTTTATTTGAATGAGTCTTTATTACGTCAAAGACCCGACTTAATCAAGGGGATTTAACTCTAATTTTCTAAACAATTAGCTGTGCTGAGCGTTGAAAAATGGTGAACGTGGTCTTGGACTGTCATCGAACATTTTCGCATTGGAAACTTTTTTCGAGATGGGACAGCCCCTTTAACGGTATAACTACACATACACCACATCTAAGTTTTAATAGGTAATAATTCATCATACCTGTACACATGGCAGATGTTCATAGACAGCTCAACAGCCAGCTCCGAGGGATAGAGAAGCTTGCCCCGATTCAGGAGGTCGGTAAATGTTTTGATGGCTTCAGCCAGGCCAGCCGCACCGTCCCCGTGATGCTCGAGGTCAGCGTCCAGACGCACTTCTTCCAGCTGGCGAGGGCTCTCGTTCACCAGAAGCGCGTGACAGGCGTGACATGGCCTCCTTTTCAGGGCAGAACGAGCGAGGTAGCCAGCCACATGCATGAGCGCTTGTTCTGCTCCTTCTGATAAGGCCTCATGTTCTGCAGAGGAGGTGATGTCTACGAGCGTCTTAACCACCTCGGAGTCATCTCGTTGCCGTTGTTTGCGGGCCTCCTCCATCTGGGCAGATACTGTGCCCAGACTGTAGCCAGAGAGCCAGACGAGACTCTTCACACGAATGACCGCCTCACCTTCGAGAAACTGCCTCACGCTCGCCCAGAAATTTCCTCCAGCCAGCTTCCTCAGATAACCGAACCGGCTCTCGATTCGGTCAGACTGGATTTTGCCCAGCAGAACATAATGCACTAGGTCGCCGTGCTTTTCCAGTAGGTATTGGGTCACGCCGATCAAGCCTCTGCACGTGTAGATGGCGGCCTGTGTCGTGTCAGCTGACATCTTGCCCGCTCCGGTCCTGTTTTGCCAGGCTTCGAGCATCTTTCCAAAGTCGGCGAGATATTTCAGACCACACTTCTCTTCCCTGCTTGGTGGGGCTCTGATGGAGTCGCGCAGACGCACATGTGTGTAAGGAGTTTTTACATTTACGATGCTGAACCACTTCTTCAGCATCTCCAAGAAATCAGCCGTCTGTCTGAAGTTGCAGTGTTCCTCCTTCTGGCCATAAAACCTGAGGGCTGCCACGGTAGTTTCATGAGTGGCTGCCACGGCCAGCTGAACGTTGACACGCTCGACAGTTGTGGGGTGAATTACCCTGTCTGTCAGTCGATAGGCCATTTTGATGTCCTGTCCCATTTCCATCCTGTACAGTTGCTGCAGGTGGTTGTACTCGGCTTTCACCACTGTCTCGGTAGTTGGGAGCTGGCAGATGAGAGTTTTCTTGTTCAGGAGGTTGAAAAAGAAGTTTTTGTATAGGTGCACAGTGTCGAACATCGTGTACACCCTGGCGCCTGGGCTGTATGGGTTGATGATGAACTCTGGATGACGTCCATCTTCACCGAGGGAGTTGTGAAACCCCTGGTTAGTTCGGTGGCCATCGGTTGTGCACGAGACCACGGTGAATCCGATCTCCGTCAAAGTTTTCAAAACCGTGAAGAAGATGTTTCTGATGTCAGATGTGGTGATGCTGGTCACTGGAGACATGGATATGATATCCTCATAGCTACCAGCGACAGATGAGATGAAAGTGCAGAATATGGTACTGGTGACGCCATCCTTTCCCTCGCCGTACAGGCGTCCACCAGCCAGTTCCACCGCTCGGGCCGTGTAGACCTCGTCCATTGCGAGGTTCACTAGCCGTTCTCTTTCGCTCAGTTTTGCAAGTCTCATCTTCAGGTAGTTCACCGTGCCGATCTCTAGCCCCTCTCTGACGCTCAGCGCGGTTGTGAGTCGTCGGAGAGTCTTTCGGTGCGGCAAGAGCAGAACAGCGGAGCGGCAGATATCTTCGTAAAGCCTGGGACTTGTTCTGTCCCAAACTACGGCCAAACTCATCAGCGCTTGGCTGTAGCGCCGCCCCTTGGCAGGAACTGAGGCCAAGCGCAGCTGCTCTGCGACGAACTGGCAGATGGTGAGTTCATCGCCACCGCCGGTCTCCGCCGCCCGATCCAGGAGATCAGCAGCAGAAGACATGAAGTGTTTTCCAGTAGGATTCACTGACTTCAGACGAGCTAGGACATTCAGCACCTCGGCTGTGCTCTGGAAAGTCCCAGACCTGGCCGTCAGCCCGGCGGCGTGCTGAAGCGGGACTTCGGCACCAGCCACGTGCATCCGGAAGCGAAAGTCCTCGAAAATGGTCAGATTTCTTACGATCACAGGTAGCCCGACTGCTTCATCAAGTTTCTCAAGCCGGATGCTCAGGACTCCAGCTGCGTTGGAGAGAAGCATCTTGATCATGATGAAGCCTGAGGGTAGATTTTCATTCTTCAGCTTGGCGTGCAGCTCCTCTAGAGTGGCGAATCTCTCCGCGTTCATCATGTCGGCGCACTGCTGCTGCAGCTGCCGTTCCGTGGCATGGCGCCTCGATGATGGTGTTGCTAGTGATGTCCGTGGGCGGTTGGTTGAGCTGAAAAACGGAAAGCATGTAATTAAGATTAGATATTCAAGAATTACCTATGCAACTTCATATCGGTAACTGAAAATAACATCGACATGTATTAATACACTAACTTAAAAACAATTCCACCAATCAATGCAATAATTTCATGACATGTTTTTTTCGAACGAGAACACATGCTTGACCTCACTTTGAAGTAGTAGGTAGGTACAGAAGATAAACTTAACCTGACTTGGATATCACGCGTAACAGAACTGACTGGGCCATACCTCCGAACGGATTGATCTGATTTTAATAATTGAAACGGCGTTTATTTTTGCTGGCCAGTTAAAAAAAAAAACTTGTTGAGCACCGAGCGTGCTGCTCATGGCTTAACATGCTGATGTTGAACAGTACCTACATATTTACTTCAGCCCATTGAAATCACCCGCTTTCGGCGCTTGCTGCATCCTGTGCCGCAACCCATACTGCAACGTCCATAGATGGCACTTGTGTAGAACCCCTGATGCATGCTGTGCCGCAAGACACGATGTTCGTCCCATTTTAGTCCATAGATCGCACACATGTAGAGTGACTGGGGAATGATGTACCGCAAAATACATTGAAAACGGGAGACGCCCAACGCCGCCAAATTTGGCATACCTAGCCTATTATATAACCTTTATACAATTTCCCTGAAAACTTTAGGTCTAAGTGACGTGTCAGGTGACTGCAAATCAAAGAAAGAGTTGGAATGTCATATCTAAATTTCATTCGCGTTCTGAATATGCAAAGCATAGTTTTAGACTGATTTATTTTAAAATTTTAAAGCCGAGTTTAGCCTATTTAGTTCTATGACAAATATATTCCGATGTTTCGATGAATGATACTGACCTAAGATCAGTTGGAGATCATGACCGCGTAATGTTAGGCCTCTGGTGGGCTGGAAATATTCAAATAAATCATGTCTGAAACTGCTAGATATTCGCCTCCTTCGGTCATAGTTGTGCTCTAATATCACCATTTTCATGATTCCTATCACTTATTCAAAGTTCAAGTCCGGTCACAAACATCATGTCACAAAAGGTCACAGCTACTATGAACTCTGGGCTTGAATTACAGGATCTATGGTTGATTTAAAGTAAATTTTAATGTTGTTTGAATGAACATAAACCGCAATTTGGACCAGATAGAAACAGGTTCACTTAAAAGTCAGGTAAAAGTAAGTGCTACCTAGGTCAAAAGTTAAACTTATGATGTTGTAAAACAAAAACCATATCGTTGGTCCGTCTCTCATTTTTACCTAAACGGACTACTTGTAGCGGAGTATGACTTCCTGGCGTTCAGCTGCAATTTAAACCATATAGAACGAATACCTTCACGGTATGCGAGACTGTTAGAGATCTCGTCTTCGTGTAAGTTTTGTGATTAGATCAATATTTTGGTACTTTTAGCAGCAACATGCTACAACATAAAAAAGTTCTCGCAAAGAGGCAATACGTAAGCTATTCCACTACTCACGACTCACTCATGCAACAGTTTGTTTCTTACCTCGTGTGGTCATTGAAAATTGACGGCACCGCTGATGGTTTCAGGGACTTCCGCTGCCGTTGAGTTTTCCTAAATGTGTCTTCCACGAAATCATGTTGCTGGAAATGTAACTCGCAAATCCCGCTGTGATCTGGATTCCACTGACCATCTCTTTTTACAGCGCTGAGCCATTTTTCCCTGATGTCACGCCTTTCATACTTTGGAAACGTAAACACTGAAACGTTTTTCAGGGAAGCAGTAAGATTACGTTCGCTTTTGGTGGGAGCATAACCTGACCTACAGCCTATAACCGCACATTTCACCATAATTATAGAAAAACAGAGTCCAATCCAGCGAGAACACATTTAGAAGACTTCGTACACTGTTGATAATTAAAATCGAACTCAACCCATTTTCCTCAGTGAAAAAGCAAGAGTGTCCCAGAACACCTTTAAACGTCTTCAATATTCCGCCCTACCCCGTAAATCTATGATAAATGTCTTGTAAACTTAATATAAGACCTTAGTTATAAACAAAGCATTGTCCAAGCCCGCATTGCCTAGATTTTATCGATTTTATCACAAATGTATTTTCGGTATTTACTTTCTTCCAATGCCACGCACTTAAGTTATCGTGCGATTTTTGCAAAATACCTCCGCGCGGCTGAAAAAAGACTTAATTTTGAAGAAAAAAAAAACATGAAAGAAAACAGCCCCTACGCCAGTGTATTCGAAGAGAAAAATATGTTAATTAACACAATGTTGTAATTAACATACTAATTAACATTCAGTTGGTGAGTCTACTGCCTACTTGCCCATATTGACTAGGCCATGAATCTACGTCTACCTGTGGGTCGTTACAACCATAACCGTGCTTATATTGGTTATATACTGTATAATGAGAAGACTCATATTCACTGCTATAGATAAAGATCTACATAAAGCAGGCAACAAGACAAACAAGAGTTGGTTGTCATTTTGCAACCTGTCTTCAAACCAACAATTTAAGCATGCTTTATCGAAATGCAACAGAATGTACCGCAAAACCTTATAACGAGCTTTTTTCTTCAGTGAACAGCGATAGTTGTTGATTTGTGCATACGTAATCAAATAGCAAGGCTTTAATTTTGTTCTCTATTTTATCAGTAGACCTAGCGTTGTTTCAACTTTGGGTAGCAGAGTTTGTTAATAAATCGTAGCTGGGGACAGCAACAAACCATTACAACCACTGCGGTGCTCACCGAGATACAAAGCGGGCGTGTACGCCAAGCGTCATGTCGATTTCCACGTGTCTGCCTGTGGCAAATGATTCATACTTGGCAACATAACACATCATCTCAATCAGTCCATAGATTCGAGATACAAAAAAAGGTACGCACGTGCGCACGTGCACCGATAGGCCAAGCATCGAGTGTGCGTCATTATCAGTTATGTGTTATCTGGCTACATACCAAATGTCATCCCAATCGGTCGAGGGGTTCCTGAGATACAAAAAAGGGGTACGCACGTGCGCACGTGCACCGATAGGCCAAGTATCGAGTGTGCGTCATTATCAGTTATGTGTTATCTGGCTACATACCAAATGTCATCCCAATCGGTCGAGGGGTTCCTGAGATACAAAAAAGGGGTACGCACGTGCGCACGTGCACCGATAGGCCGAGTATCGAGTGTGCGTCATTATCAGTTATGTGTTATCTGGCTACATACCAAATGTCATCCCAATCGGTCGAGGGGTTCCTGAGATACAAAAAAGGGGTACGCACGTGCGCACGTGCACCGATAGGCCAAGTATCGAGTGTGCGTCATTATCAGTTATGTGTTATCTGGCTACATACCAAATGTCATCCCAATCGGTCGAGGGGTTCCTGAGATACAAAAAAGGGGTACGCACGTGCGCACGTGCACCGATAGGCCAAGTATCGAGTGTGCGTCATTATCAGTTATGTGTTATCTGGCTACATACCAAATTTCATCCCAAACGGTCGAGGGGTTCCTGAGATACAAAAAAGGGGTACGCACGTGCGCACGTGCACTGGTATACCAAGTTTCGATCTTCCTGTAGTGTTGACTGTGGTGTACCAGACTACATACCAAATTTCAGGCCAATCGGTTCAGCCGTTCCAGAGATACTGATGCACCATTTTCGAAAACATCCCTCACGCGCCACGTGCTCACGGTGGCCTATTACATGGTATTGCTTCAACACACGTGTGCCCTAAATTTTGATGAATAGGGCTGTCCAGTAGTGAGGACCGCAACATCGTACCTGACCTAGTTCCCGAGATATAACGTTTTACTTTTAGGGCCACTATGCAATTCGCCAGATTCGAGTGTCCAGTCCAGGTATGTAGAGGTCTATGCCCCAACATAACTCGACAG